TTGGCTTTGGGTGCCACCATCTTTGTGATGGTGTGAGGATCAATTAGCATATTCCTCTTTATTAGATAGGATTTATATACTCATTTATGGTTTAAGTTGTCTTCTGTAGCCGTTTCAAAGGCTAATGTTTACCCAGTGTCAAAGGAAGAGAAGCTTCAACACAATTGATCTGCTCCTCCAAAGTCCCATAAGTGTCAGGATGACCAGCAGATCCTCTTCAGAACAATCCCCAGTCAGGTCCTATCTCTCCTCTTGGAGGTCCATGGGTCTTTTCAAGCTATACTCTCTCCATTATCCAGTGTGTTCCGATCTGTTTCCTTTCTACATTTAGACTCACTATAACCTTAAGCTTCATTCATGCCATCTATTGTCCACTGTGTCTGCCTGCTGTTTCCCACATAGTCATGTTTTAAGTGGGGTCATATAGCTGAATTGGAAGAAGCGAGAAAGGGGGAAGAGATGTGATAACCTGATTCATTTTTGTTGACTATCTGGTACCTAGACCAGTGTGTTTTTTATTTAGTAAGTGCTCAAAAATATTTGTTAAATTGAGTAAAGAACGTAGGAGACCTAGAAAATTCCAGCATCGTTGAATGTTAAGTTGTGTCGGGTAGAGGGCCCCCTGGGAAGACACATGGACATTCTTTAGATTGTTGTTGGCTGGGCCTGGGGCATTGGCCACAGAAAAGGGAGATCCCCAATGCATCAGGCCCCGCAGTGTCCATCTCCCTTCTCTGGGGATGACACTAAAATCAAGGAGTACACAAATGTAAAGATTGATTAGAAACTATTATTAGTAAGTGGAGAATATGCTACCAACTGTGGCAATAGCCAGAAGCAGATAGTGAAGCTTGGATCGTAAAGCAAGAAAGAACTCTAAGAGATAGAAAGACAAGTAGGAAGGGTTGGGATAAGAGACTTAGAAGAAGGATTGTCCTGGATAAAAATTGATGAGACTTGTGGTCTAATAATAGAGACCCTCTGATTCTCTTAATAAAAATAACACCTGGAAAAGTTCTAGCTTCTGCCTTGGTGCAGAAAGCTGGAGAAAGCATTACTCTTATCACCACAACATAAACTCAGTAATCTACAAAATTATCACTTTTACCAAGCCAATCAGAGAGCCGAGGTCACAGGGCAACAACTGGCCTGAGAGATAAGGAAAGCCTGGTGCTTCTAAACACAGAAGAGATGCAGAACACTGGGTCACCAGTGGCAGACCATGGGAAGGAAGATGGTGCAGCACTCAAACAGGAAAAAGAGTTCTGTTACATTTTTTAAAAATATATTTTATTGATTTTGTACAGAGAGGAAGGGAGAGAGATAGAGAGCCAGAAACATCGATGAGAGAGAGTCATCGATCAGCTGCCTCTTGCACACCCCCTACTGGGGATATGCCCGCAACCAAGGTACATGCCCTTGACTGGAATCGAACCCGGGACCCTTCAGTCCCCAAGCTGACGCTCTATCCATTGAGCCAAACCGGTCCCGGCTCTATTACATTTTTAAATGAATTGCTAAAGACTGAGTGTGGGCTGGCATGGGAACCCCATCGGAGTTACAATCATAAGGGGAGTTCATATCCACTCCCAGGCTTTTCTCCAGGGATCTCCACTGGACACCCAGGACAAAGATTGGGGGCAGGATGGCAAAGACTGTGAGGTGGTACAGGCTTAAAGGAGAGGAGTGGCTGCCACTGCAGGAAAGGCAATATGAAGCCCAGAGCCTTCTCCTTTAAGGAACATAAGACTCAAACTGATGGGGGAAGGCAGCAAACCTGTTGTTCCTCAAGGGACAGATGGGGCCCTTTGCTGCTGGAGTTATAGGGGAAAAAAGAGGGGGGAAATCCCCTCTATTCCTGGGAGAGGACTAGAAACTGTCCTGAGCCTAGACTATGGGAGGGTCAGAATCACCAAGACCCAGGGACCCAAAGCCTGTGTAAGTATGAACAGGATGGGAGAGAAGCTGTCTTCCTTACCCTCACCCCCACAATCAGTCTACCAAGCCCTAAGTAACAAGAAATTTACTGCTGGGAAAAGGGCATGAACTTGCAGGTGTGGGGAATGTCTGGCCCTGAGGGCTGTATAAAGTTTGAAAAATCACTTGTCTGACCCTGTCAAGGCATTAGGGGTGTTTATTAAATATCTGACCAAATATATTGATAGCAGGCTAAATATTTTTATTCCACCCCCACAGCAGGATAATTTTTAAATTGATAATTTTCTATGGCCTGCAAACTTACACTAATAAAAGAGAAATATGCAAATTGACCATACTTCCATGACACTCACCAGCCAATCAGGCATGAGTATGCAAATTAACCTAACAAAGGTGGCAGGTTAATTTGCATATGCAGGCACAGAGTGAAAACTAAAAGTTCTGGCCCGAGCAAAGACTGAAGACTGAAGAGGCTTGGCTTCTCCACTGCGGCCAGAGCGAAAGCCTGGGTCACAGATGCTGGAGGAAAACCGATGCCAATAACCAGGGTAAAGAAGGCCTATTACATGCATCTTCATGTAACCGGCCTCTAATGATGTTATAAATATCTAAATGGATCTTGGCAGAAAAAAGGTTTCCCACCCCTGGCTTAGAGTGACCCTCTCTGAGTGGAAGGAGCACAGAAGGCCTAAAGCTGACTTATGACAAATGGACTCATGAACAAAGGAACTTCTAAATAACCTTTTGTTAACCTACTTTAAGAAAAATTTATCGACGATAGTATACTTTGTACTTAGCAGTATGCCTGACGCATAATAGGTATCCAGTAATACAGTTTGTTTTGTCAGGTCCCTGACTTTAATGTGAATGCTTTTGCCATTTCACTCTATTGTATGAAGCTACTGGTTTTTTCTGATTGCTATTTTGATCCAATTAAGAAAATGTGTTCATTTCTCATTTACTAAAAATTTTTAAAATTCAGAAATGGCTGTTGAATGTTATTCATTGCAACTCTAGAGAATATCATTTGGCTTTTCTCCTTTAATTTGAAAAAGTACCTGAGTAGATTTCTTAATGTTAAACCACCATTCTTGGAATAAACTATACTTTGTCACAGTGTGAATTCTTTTTGTTACCACATTACTGGCTTTGTTATCTTAATACTCAATTTTGTCTTTGGAACAAAGTCAATGAGAACATAAGAATTTCCCCCCCACACACCTTTTTGGGAACTGTTTGCCTTGGATTTTATTGTAGTATCAGAGTTTTGCTAGCCTTTGTGAATAAACTGGGAAATTCTCTGCTTTGGGGAGATTCTTCGTTTCCCTAGAATTCACCTGGGTTTGGTTACCCCATCTCACTTCCTTCTTCCTTCCAGAAGTGCCCCACAGTACCGCTAATAATTTAACCAGGAGGATGTTTTCTCATTCTAGCCTTCAAGGCTCCTGGAAAAGGGGGCTCACCTACTGCTCCTCAACAAAACCAGTTTTCCCACTGTCCTTGCACAGGCCACACACCTTACCACTTCCAAGCCTTTGCTAATTTCATGTCACTTGCCTCGCTAAATCCTAACCACTGAATTTGAGGTGGGAGATATAAGGTGGTGTTGATTATGGCAACATAGAACAAACATCTGAGGCAGAGACTGTGTAGCTGCTTGACACCCTTCTCTTTATTTAACCCTCAGGATCCTGAGAGGCTTTATTTTGTAGATGGGAAAAGAAACTTGATAAATGTTATACCCTAATAAGTGGAGATGCCAGAATTTAAAACCCGGACTTCTAGATTGCAGTGAATACAGCTTCTCTCCTCTTCCACTGTTCAGGGGCTACAGTCTCTCATGTTGACCTGCATGTCCTCCATGTCCCATTAGCAATTGTAGACTGTACCACACTATGTTACATTAAACTCATTTGTAATTTCTATTGTTTCTTCTGAGTCGTTCTTGTCTCACAGGGAGCAGTTATTAACTGAATGACCTCTCAGTGCCTGTTTATCCAACTCCAGATGTAGGCACTTTTTTTTTTTACTTTATAATAAAAGAGAGTGTGGGGGGGGAATAAAAGGAAACGGTGACTAAATACAAAAAAAAATGTCTATTGTGTTAGTCTTAGCTGTATACTGCAAAAACTCCCTTTCAACATAAGTTTCACTCTGCGTAGTCTCCAGGGGCTCTTTGGCTACCCCTACAAAATTAGTGCTTAAATATCGACGAGAGTTGCCATAAGTGAGTATGGATCACCTCCCCACCAAGCACATCCAGCAGCGGCAAGATGACGGACATCGCACCTACAGACAACAAGCACTCCCTAACAAGGATGAGAGATGAGTGAGGCAGGCCCTCCCAGCTCCGGGCGCGATCCCGCCCCACCCCTCCCATCTCAGCCGGATGGAACATTCCGTGCGAAAGCTTTGACAGCGCGCGCCCCCGTGACCCCCCCCCGGAGTCACGTGGCAGTGGAGCGTGCTGACGGCGCCTGCGGGATGACGCGCGCTCGGGTTGCCAGGGGGCGGGGCCTGCGCCGCGGAAGGGGCGGGGCAGACAGCCCGCGGGGAGGCGGGGCGGGAGGGGCGGAGGGCGGGCGGAGAGGGGCGCGCGGGCGGGGAGGGCCCGGCGTATTATGGGATGCGGCGGTGGAATGGCGCTGGGCGCGTGATTTTGAACAAACCCGGGTCTGTGTCTCGGAGGCGCCGCCGCCGCCGCGGCAGCTGGGAGCCCAGGGAGCGCGGCGCGAGGAGAAGGCGGCGGCGCCGCCGGCTTTGGTGAGTGTCAGACCCGGGGGAGGAGGCATCTGGGCGGGCGGGCGGGAAGGGGCGCCGGCCCCCGCTGCTGCGGGTGGTGGCGCGGCCGAAGGGCGCCTGACCGCTCCCTCCGGGAGTCGGGGCTGATGGTGGGTGGGTGGTGGCGGAGAGCGGGAACCTGCAGGCTGGGGGTGGGGGGGCAGGGGGGTCGCGGTGCCCCACCCCCGGGCCGCAGTGGGCGGGAGGATCCTCCCGGGCTCGGCCCCTTCCCGCCCGCACCCGGGAGGGCGGCTGTCACCCGGCCTCCCGCCCACCCTTCCTGGCGGGTCCGGAGGAAGGGCTCGGGCGGCTGTTGACAGCACCCTGCGCGGCCCGGGACGCCGGCCGTGCGGGCCCCGGCTCTCCGGGAACCGGTTTTGCTGCTGTGTCATTTGGTACCGGCGGCCCCTCCTCTCCCCGCCGCCCGCCGCCCCGCTCTGCCTGCGCCCCTTTGTACGGTGCCTTCGTGTGTGTGTCCGTTTCCCTCGCGAAGCCCACCAGCCAAATGTCACAATGTCCCCGCGGTGCACGGGGGACGGGAGCGGGCCGGGGCTGAGCTTGGCCCGGCAACGGTAAACACCGGGCAGGCTGCGGGTGGACGCGGCGGCGGCGGGGAGATGGAAGTTCAAAGATGAAGGCGCCGGGGAGACCCGGTACTTTCGAGCCGGTGGCGGGCCGGGCGTAAGGACGGCGACCGCCGGGCGGGGTTAGTACATAACCCGGGGGAGGAAGCCTGAATCTGCGGACTTTTATATGGACTTGTCACTCAAGCAAGGTAAGGCAAGGAAATGGCTTTTTTCAGCTTCTATCTCACTCTTCTTAGAGTAACTCTTAAAAAAAAAAAAAAGACAGGAGAGGGACCCTATTCGAAACCTTGACATTCACTTTGCTCGTTTCAGACGGGTCTTGTAGAGCTTGTGCTGTATTTGACAGGTATGGAATCCGGCTTTTGAATGGGTGGGTTAGCATATCTTTCTGAAATTGACAATGGTAGCCAATTTAGGATTTTTCTGTGTTTTGGTTTTTTTTTTGTTTTTTTGTTTTTTTAATCCGGTCTCCTTTAGAAGCCTCGCAGCTTATGTTTCCTTGTTACTTCTTTGATGATGAAAAGAAACCTATGTCAGCCCTGACTGGGCAGCTCAGTTGGGTAGAGTGTCGTACTGATACACCAAGGTTGCGGGTTCGATCCCGGGTTAGGGCACCTATAAGAAGCAACCAATGAATGCATCCATAAGTGGAACAACACACTTCTCTCTCTCTGTCAAAAAAACCCCACGCAAAACAAAACCTGTGCTCTCTTTTAGTTATTTATTAAACTGCACGATAAGAGCTGGTGGGGGTAGATAGGTAACTCTGGGGTCTTGCTGTAAAGCAAGCTGTTCATTCTCACTGTTTTGCCACGAACAAGGTCAGTACGTTTTAAACGTAGTTGCACGTTGGCATCTTAAGCCTGTGACAAGCTGGAAGTTACGGTGTCCAAGGGCAGAAACGATCCGATGGCATTAAGTGGGGAGGAAAACAGTTCGGAACTTTGTTTTGACCACACCGAGGATCAATGGCTGTAATTTACAAATGTGTCAGAGGTGGAGATAGTTCCTTCTGCCCAAGTAGTGCTGACGGTGGAGGAAAATGTCGGAGACCGTGAGTGACATGAAAGGTCTGGATCTTGTTTTTCGTGGCCTGAGATGGGCACCGTGAATAATAAAATACATGCCACCGCCTCGAATTGCTCTTTCGAAAAGTGAACGAATCGGGGGTTCTTTATTGTCCTTATGTCGTCTTCCCCCATGGCTTCTGCTCTTCAAAATAAAAATATGCCGGACCGGGGGACCCCCGCAGGTGGCGCGGCTGCGGGCCGCAGGATCACCATCTTCCCCGGCGGGGCTTGTGCCTCCGGCGCCCCCGGTGCCGCGGGAGGCCGGCGGCCGGGAGCCTCTCCCGGATCCGTGGGTGTGCGCCGCCCGGGAGGGAGGGAGGGCGGGCGGGCGGGCGGGCGGGCGGGCGGGAGGGAGGAGGAGGAGGAGGAAGGGGGAGGTTACCGGCGGCGGCCGGGCTGGGGCTGTCGGGGAAGCTGCTGAGCTGTGATGGTGATGACGAGGTGAAAATGGCGGATCTTTCGAAATACAATCCCGGCCCCTGACATACCAGAGGCGGCGGCAGCGGCGGCGGCGCCGCCCGGGCTCCCTCTCCGGCCCCGGGGCCCCCGCCGCGCTGCACTTGGGGCGTCCGGGGAGAGCCAGCCTCTGGCCGGAGCCACCGAGCACGGGCAAAGCCAGCACCGCCCGGGCACCGAACCGCCCGGGACCTTCTGGAGCCCCCGCCTCGGAGCCGGACTGACGGAGAAGGCGGCAGCTGCTGGAGGTAGAGAAGGGGGTACCCCAGGGCTCCTCTGTCTTGAGATTCTTTATTTTGGGGGTGGGGTGGGGGGTAAGGGTCGGGGTAGGATGGTGCTGTGGATCAAGGAATGCCTAGAACTGAGTGCAAAGAATCAGTAGCCTCGTAATGACATCAACATTTATTCTTTGAGCATTAAGAGGGCTCGAGTTTGCTCTGATACCTAAGGCTGCTGCTGAGGCCTAGAGGAACCGCTAGCACTTACCACTATTTTCTGGTTTAATATTCAAAATATCCACTCTGGTGGGTACTGGTGTGATGATGGCCAGCAGTTTATGGGGTTGTATGTTTCTTTAGGGAGGCAGAGCATTGGCATTTTATTCTGCATTTAAGCTCTTGATTTAGATCATAGCCTATAACTTGTTTGGGTGTGGATGCCCACATTTTTTGAGCATATGGACCAGTTTTGTAAGAATTTAAAATGTTGCCTTTTTCTTTTATGGCTCTGTCATCTGTAGAGTTGACCCCTTTGGCCCTGCCATTGGCAAATAACAATTGAGATACTGTCATGTATGCTTTATAGTTTTTGTTTTTCTTTGTGACTCCTCCCCCACCCCACCCCCCACCCCCTAATCCATTTTGTCAATTCAGAGAGTAAAGTTATGAAAGATTTTGCAGTAGATTTTATAATTCAAGTGAATCACAGCTCTGGGAGCTCAATTTTGGTTCACAAATTTTGCCTTCATTGCTAAGGAAGTTGTGATAGCTTGATGCATGCATCTGATGTGAGTCATTAAGTTGATAAAGATGAATTGAGAATTTTTATATTCTAAAATTCTGGACACCTTTGTTTAAAGAGCTGGAGAACTGGACTGATTGACTTTATAACATCTATGATTTAATTTTGTTAGATTATCTAAAGATCCCCATTTGTTTTAGATTGTGCTGTAGATCCCCAACGGGTCTGTCTCCTTGCACACAACAGTAGTGTTACTGAAAAGTTACATATGAGTCAAAATTTTATATGTTAATTTCAAGCCCTGTTTTTTTCCAGCTTTTGTAGTAAAGGATTGGGTCAGTGACAATGAGTATATGAGAGGAAACAGAGTTGAATAATAAGTACTTAAGAAATGCCTACTGGTAATTTTATGATTACAGTAATTTTCCTTATCCAAGTTTCCTACAAAGAGATGATGTCATGGTATTTAATAAGTATCATACATATATTTTATTCAGAGGTAAAATATTTTGTGTGTATCTTGGACATTTGGCTTTTGTTCATAAGAAGGCTGAGAGACCAAAAAATTTTTTAGGAGACCGAGAGGTACTCAGAAGATTTATCTAATGAATTTTAAAAAAACATTTGTCTGATGTTCTTATATCTAGTGGGAATTTGATTCTGTGGTTTTTGCTTTTTTCTTGTTATAGATTTTATCTTGCAATTATTTGGTCCATGCCAACCTAGCTGCTAAGTTAGTAGTAAGAGTAAGAATATTTATTTATTTATTTATTATATACTTTTTAATCCTCACCTGAAGACATTTCCCCTTCCCCCAGTTGATTTCTAGAGAGAATGGAGGAGGAGGGGGGAGAAACATTGATATGAGAGAGACACATCAATTGCTTGACTCCCACTCATATCCCTACTGGATCTGGGGAACCTGCAACAGAGGTGCATGCCCTTGACCAGGAATTGAACCTGAGACCCTTTGGTCTTCAGGCCAACACTGAGCAAAACCAGCTGGGCAAGACTAAGAATTTTAAAAATAATTAAAGATGGAGATGAAAATGTCTTTTTCATTGGTTTCCTTATTTTTTTCAAAGGGCTGTTATTTGTGATTCTCCGTAATTATCTTTAAAGACCAGTTTTTAGATTATTGTGGTTAGAACAATTATCTATTAATAATTAGAATTGTGGCCGAAACCGGTTTGGCTCAATGGATAGAGCGTCGGCTTGGGGACTGGAAGGTCCCAGGTTCGATTCCGGTCAAGGGCATGTACCTTGGTTGCGGGCATATCCCCAGTAGGGGGTGTGCAAGAGGCAGCTGATCGATGACTCTCTCTCATCGATGTTTCTAACTCTCTATCTCTCTCCCTTCCTCTCTGTACAAAATCAATAAAATATATTTAAAAAAAAAATAATTAGAATTGTGTTAGAAAGAAAAACTGGAAAAGTTATGCTACTGTAGATAGTCCAGTGTCTTTATGGGGGGAGAGGAGCATTATACATTTCCATTACTTTTTCCAGATATTAGTATTGGTTATCTGTTATCTATTGTGCTTCACATATTGTGCTAGGGATAGGAGATACCTCAATATCATTGTCTCAGGGAATGGTTAATTTAGGAACCAGAGGAAGGTTGGAAGGGTTGAATAGGGCCTTAATGTATGCAGAAGGCTTTGAAAATTACAGGATTTTTTTAAACAAGAGAGTGACAGCCACAGAGATCTGGTAGTTTTTATGTGGGATGTGTTATAGATTAGGGGAGATGATGGTAAAGATACATTGTAGGCTAAAAGCTTTGGAGATGTGGAAATTCTTGGTTGTGGGAAGGAGACATTGTGATAAATGACTGATTCTATAGAGAGACACCAAAGATGAAGGCCTTAAACCCTGCTGTTTGATAGAATATTGAATGCCATAAAAAAGAAATCAGGCCGAGGCCGGTTTGGCTCAATGGATAGAGCGTCGGCTTGGGGACTGAGGGATCCCAGGTTCGATTCTGGTCAAGGGCATGTACCTTGGTTGCGGGCATATCTCCAGTAGGGGTTGTGCAAGAGGCAGCTGATCGATGACTCTCTCTCATTGATGTTTCTAACTCTCTCTCTCCCTTCCTCTCTGTACAAAATCAATAAAATATATTTTAAAAAAAAAGAAAGAAAAAAAAGAAATCAGAAGAAGCTAATTTAGATGGAGGAAAATAATTTTCATTTGAATTATAGTGTACCACGTAACTGTCTTCACAGTTTACCCTGCAAGTAAACGAGCTTAGAAATTATTGCTTAGGTTTATACATTAAACTGCTGAGAGAACCAGGATTTGGAAATGGGTATTTCTGATTTGAATCTCTGTGTTTTTCCCACACTATGTTAGTCTTAAGCATGAAAAGGGGGGAAAACATTGTGAATCCCCAATGTTGGCCTAAATAATTTTATTTGATTAAAATATTTAATTTTATATGTATATAGATGTAAATTCTTTAGGCTTACTGCTTGTATGCAAGTAACAAAAGTAAATTTATAAATGAAATATAAGCCAAACTATAAAACCAGTAAAACAAATTAAATGTAGGGTGATGATGTTATTTTGCTGAAACAAAAATCTTTATTTGCATAGGAATATACTATTTATTGTCTGCCTTGGTAAGATGTGGAGTTTTCTATATACTATATATCCTATTATAACTTAATTTCTCTACCACTTTTCTGTACTTGAATGCT